CGACCCCGTGTGATGAGCGGGACAGAGCATTATATATATATAGCAAAGTACGTTATCACAATATGAATGATTTAATGTAAAAAAGTAAATTACCAGAGATATGATAAGGTGCAATATATATAACTAAATTGCATAATAATAAAGTTTGTCATTACATTACACATATTGTACATTATATAACCAAATCATGCACAAAAAGATACTTATAGTGGTCTGATCTCGGTGAGATGGTCATAGTTAACCCAAAATAGAACAAAATAAACAATTAAGAAAACTTGTAGGGGCACGATTAGTATTGCTCTAATTTGATGACCTAGTTGAGTTTGGTTGAGGACAACTCTCCCGTCACATAAATCTTGCAAGGTTGTTGATTCAGTTAAACCATCATGAGCAAGTCTCTTTATACTTGTGGTTGGTGTAACAGGTTCAGGGTTGTGTTTGGATGTTATTTCAATGTCATGGAAATTACATTATTAGAGTAAAATAAAGGAATGAAAATGTAGTTTGTTAAAAAATCTTAACATACTTCATGTATGAACCAATAATCTCCATTGATGAAGCTTTGCATAGAAAACAAAAATGAAAACAGAGAATAGAAAAAAGATGGAGAGAGAAGAATGTGAAGCTCTTTTGTATTTCTGTATTTGTGAAAGCTTAACCAAAATACACAGAAGAAAGGGTATATATACAAGAGGTAGTTGTAACTACCTAACAAACTATAACCACTAACTTCTCATCCACAAACTAATTGGATTACTAAACATAAAATAAGGGAAAACAAAGAGCTGAATTTTAACATCCTCCCTCAAGCTCAAGCATGATATATGTCTATCATGCCAAGCTTGGATACAAAATATTGAAACTTGCTAGTTATCAATGGCTTAGTAAGGAAATCTGCCAACTGTTCTTGAGAAGCTATTGGGAGCAACTTTAAAATGTCTTGTTTGATCTTCTTTCTAACAAGATGACAATCAATCTCAAGGTGCTTCGTTCTCTCATGAAAAACAGGGTTGGATGCTATATGAATAACACTCTGATTATCACAGTACAAAACTGGTGTTTTGGAGCAAGAGATTTGAAGATCCTTCAAGATGTATAGCAACCATATCAGCTCACATGTGGTTGAACTCTGTATTCTGCCTCGGAAGATGATCGAGCAATGGTTTGTTGTTTCTTTGCTTTCCATGATACAAGAGATGATCCTATAAAAAAACAATATCCTATATCCTGAGGTAGATCTTCTGGAATCACTACATCCTGCCCAGTCTGCATCAGTGTATCCTAGAATTTGCAAGGATGACTTTCTAGGGAAGAGAAGCCCTTTACCAGGATTACCTTTTAAATATCTAATAACTCTGCATGCAGCATGATAGCGAACTTCAGTAGGGCAATGCAAAAACTGACTCAATTGTTGCGTGGCAAGAAGCATCTGTCTGTTTCTATTTGTAAGTGAAGAATTATAATGCGTATGTCTCGCATATGGTAGAGTTGATGGTGTTGTTACTACGTGTCGTGAGACAGGGAAATTTAAAAAACGTTATTGAATCAGAAGTAAGAAAGATAACAAAAAGGAATCTTGAGTAGTAACACGACATACCCCAAATCTTTCAAGACCAAGTTAACCTGTGGTTTTTACTCTCTGATTGCGATTGTGTGTAACCTATTTCGCCAACCATCCCTATGACATTTGTATTGAAACATGACAAGGCGATTAGTTTGAGTATGCAAATGTAATTTGAGAGCAAAAAGTGACATTTACAAAAAAAAAATATACTTATAAGGAGATTTTTCTTCCATTTGTCTAAAATAATATTAGCAAAAGAGGTGAACTTAATAACTTTGTCAGAAATTTCATGTTTGTTATTGTTTCTTGGCGGTGTTCCATCAGTGAATTTCAATAAATATTTGTGGCTTAATGCTTTGAACATTAAATCATTCAGTAGAACTTGAAAGTTAGCAATGGTGCAAGTCATATTAACCAATAAAAAATAATTGGAAGCTTGCATAAGCATCGTCGGAACAATCACATAAATATCAGCACCTTGTTAATGGTAAATCGTATACAACATCAGGTGAAAGCAAAACCTAAAACATAAATGGGCATATCCAAACTCAAATATACTACAAAGACGACGAAAAAGAAATGAAAATGTATACAAAAAATACCTAATAGTGTATACCAAGAAACATTCATTCATTAAAATCTACTATCCAGAAGAAAAGAAAAGAAATCAGAAGAGTTTAAAAGCTACGGCAAAGACGAAACAAATGAGGTGTTTGTGAAGGTAAACCAAAAATCATGGACCTAACACAAACATAACCATGAAGACAAACAACCACAATAACCAAAACAATATTGTGAAAACAAAACGAGGGTAAGAGGACTTTCAGAAACTCACGTCTTTGTTTACAACAATAAGCTGAAAATGTTTCTTTGTATTTGAAGTAATCTTCTATTTGTGGTGAACTTTGATGATAATTTTCTAGTTTTTTTCAGTCATTGATGTTCTTTATCATCTTAAACGGTTTTGCCATGTTGAAGAAACGCTGACGACGTCAATTAGTAGGACGAAGACGACGGGCAGAAAGAACCGCACCGTTAGAGAAGAAACGCTTGCTTGAAGAAGGAAGAGAAATGTGAAGCGTTGGCTGAAGCGAGAAGAAAAAAGCAAAGGAAACGCGCATATAAAAGATAATGGAGAGTACTAGATGCGACGTTAAACAGTACACAAATCAGCGAAAACATGTTGCAAAAGAAATGTGCTACACTTGTTAATTGGTAAATCACTCGTCAAAGAAGAGATGCACTATATATCATCACTAGAATACCAAATAAAAGAAAAGAGCCACTCTTATATCAAACGAGTCTTTATTTCCAAATCACTCATCAAAGAAGAGAACCATTCTGTATCAGTATATATCACATACAAACCAGCAAAAGAGATTCATTACATATATGAATTTAAGATTATTCATTCATTTCTATTTCTATATAAACACATACAAACGTTTAGTGGAAACGTAGAAAGAACAAATACAACATCACCGAGTAAACTGTGCCTATGGCTCCACAATGATTTTCCCAGTAGCATGGCCATCAATGCTCTTAGCCCAAGCATCTTCAGCTTTGCTCAAAGGAAACTTGGAGTCGATGATTGTTTTGAGTTTTCCATCCTTTACTAATTGAGCAAGATGTTCCATTCCCTCACGCTTGACATTTACAATAAACGGCACCAACCGCTTCTTCGAGAAAGTAAGTTTCTTCAGAGCAAAAGTAAGCATTGAACTCGGGCCAGGTGTTAAATCCACTACAACCCCTTTTTCAGCCAAATTAGGATCAAAAGTTGACCATGGTATTCCAGTGGTGCAATGTATCACTGCATCATATTTCCTACCAGATGGACTCTTCAGTGCTACTCCTTCTGGAGTCTTGTAGTCGAGAACTTCATCAGCGCCTAAGCTTTTAACAAAGTCGATGTTACGAGCACCACAAGTGGCTGTCACGTGGTTGTTCCCTAGTTTGGCAAGTTGAACAGCATACACACCTACACCACCTGAAGCAGCAGTGACCAAGACATTCTTCTGCTCGCCAGTCCCGTCAAGCTTAATTCCTCCAATTTCGGTGAGTGCGTCACGAGCTGAGAGACCGGCTATAGGTAAACCTGCAGCTTCAGCGGCTGAGACTTCAGATGGTCTGGTAGCTGTTAAGCTCTCGCTTGCCACTGCAAACTCAGCTAGCCCCCCTCCATACTGTACGTTATTCAACATAACACAAAATTTGATAACATATATGAATAAAAACGAGTTAAGACGTGTGTGTTGCTCGTCACTTAACGTGATACATCATTACTTAATAGATTTTAACAAATAGAGGGGCTAACTTGATCAATATTTCGATAAGTGAGGGACTATTCTGCAATATCAATAAAATAAGGGACTAAGTTGATACAAAAAGCCTTCCCTAATGACACAAGGAGAAATTTCACACATTTTTGTCCTACTATTTATTCTAGATATGTCCCTCAGCACCATGTAAGAGTACATGTTATTAAACTAGCATATACTAAAATTAGAAAATCATTCCAACCATGAAATTGTGTTGCAACTCACAAAGAAATGAAGAACAGTAAACTAAGAGAGTGAAAGAAAGAGATGAGTACTTGATGTGTGAGTTTAGCAAGAACTTTGTCACCAACTTTAAAATCCTTGACTTGCGGTCCAACCTCTACTACCTCTCCTGCTACATCAGTACCTAAATCAAAGTCCCACAAGAACAAATGAACCTTAATTATATTGTAAGCATAAGCAAATAAAGAATTCATTTGTACATACACATTAATTAACCACTTATTATTTTTATATAACTATATAATCCACTGGATAGATTAATCCGGTTCGGGGTCAGTTCTGTCATCAAGTGACCGTGATCCTCCATACCAAATCCAACACCAATCACCACTGGACCAACTAACTATCGGTAACTATAAGTTGTTTTCATAAGTTAATAAGTTAAAAACAATTGATCCGCAAGTCATAAGCTATTTCTTAGGTATCACTTGGAAAAAGTGGTTCTGCTGATCAATAAACTAAACTGTTTTTGTAAGCTAATCAAAACACAGATTTGATTAAAGAGAAAGAGGATTAGTGAGTCATACAAGGTGTATTGGGAAATTTTCGAGGCATGAATAGAGCACGAAGATCACCCTTCTGAATCTTCCAGTCAATTGGATTAATGCTAGCTGCTTCCACTTTGAGTAAAACTTCATTGGTTTTTGGAGTTGGAACAGGAATTTCAACATGCTGAATTGAATCAGAATCAGTTACACGTGTAAATGAAATTAGGTTAATTTAATTTGAAGAAAGAAGAAAAAGCATGATAAATTGAAAGTGGTGAGAAAGTGGTGACGACCTTCAATCCAGCGGGTCCTCCGCCATAGGAACTGTACTGAACAGCTTGCATAAGTTTCGCAGCCATGTCTATCTATCTCGCACAACACCGAACTCTATGGATCTTGATTTGTTCGCTTCTTTTTAGTTCTACAAATTTCAACTCTCTTTGTATATGTAAAATGAAAATAAGTTGAATAGTCCTAATTCTCACACGTTGTATTTTTTTATTTCTTAAAAAGAAAAAGTATTAAATACATTTATTTTTTTTAGAATTTTTAAGAAAATATATTTTCCTACAATAATGACTTGTTTACTAACATAGTAACCGGTATCAAAAGTAAACAATTAATAACTATATTCATTCTTATAACTATTTTTAAAAAGTTAAATAAAAAAATATAAAGAATCAATAAAAATGTGGTTTTTGTTTTGATAAAAAAACTTATATCAATTTTGCCTAATAAAAATTAATGGAGAATTTTATTTTGTTAAAGGAACAAAATAGAAAGAAAAAAACATAAATTTTATGTTTTGTTGAAAATTTTATATAATTTTGCTTAATAAAATATATATTGTTATTAATAAACTAAGAGAAATTAAAATGGTTATCGGCCGATCACTTAGGAGTTACACTTCGTCTAAAATATTTGTAGTGCGGGAGAATTATTCTACGCAATAATAAGGCGATCCAAGTTTTAGATATATCCAACAACTCCCCCGCATTATACGTCTAGCAAATAGCATGTTGTTATAATTTCCGCATTATATAAGAAGAAAATGTGTATGTTTTAGGTACACAAATTTAATTCAATTTCTATTCACTCTTTTCATTGCAGGTTAGTCTCTCGTCCACCGCATCGGAAACTCTGACATGTTAGACGAGGGTACTGATTCAGAAGGGGGTTGAATAGATCACTTATTTTTAATAATCTGTGCTTTTAAAAAAATTATTCTAAAATATGCGAAAGCAGTCTCGGATCAAAACTCGTCTATCTGAACCTTTATTGGAAAGATCGGATATGTGAAGTCGAATGGAATGATCTTGATGAGAGAGTAGAATCACTAAGGTTCCCAATCAATTATTCAAATAAAAGTCACTTAAGGTGAACCAGTTTTCAATGCTTAATTGAGGATAAAATTTGAATTGACAATATATCAAACAGTTTGTGTGTTATCAATATATCAAACACTTGGCATACGAAACACACCAAGTCAAATTTCCTTAGAATTTGTAGTGCAAAACTGTTCTCACTTGCAATCAAAGTGATTTTTAAAAAGTTAAAAGTAAACACTTAATAACTATATTCATTCTTATAACTATTTTTAAAAAGTTAAATAAAAAAAAAATATAAAGAATCAATAAAAATGTGGTTTTTGTTTTGATAAAAAAACTTATATCAATTTTGCCTTATAAAAATTAATGGAGAATTTTATTTTGTTAAAGGAACAAAATAGAAAGAAAAAAACATAAATTTTATGTTTTGTTGAAAATTTTATATAATTTTGCTTAATAAAAATATATTGTTATTAATAAACTAAGAGAAATCAAAATGGTTATCGGCCGATCACTTAGAAGGAGTTACACTTCGTCTAAAATATTTGTAGCGCGGGAGAATTATTCTACGCAATAATAAGGCGATCCAAGTTTTAGATATATCCAACAACTCCCCCGCATTATACGTCTAGCAAATAGCATGTTGTTATAATTTCCGCATTATATAAGAAGAAAATGTGTATGTTTTAGGTACACAAATTTAATTCAATTTCTATTCACTCTTTTCATTGCAGGTTAGTCTCTCGTCCACCGCATCGGAAACTCTGACCTGTTAGACGAGGGTACTGATTCAGAAGGGGGTTGAATAGATCACTTATTTTTAATAATCTGTGCTTTTAAAAAAATTATTCTAAAATATGCGAAAGCGGTCTCAGATCAAAACTCGTCTATCTGAACCTTTATTGGAAAGATCGGATATGTGAAGTCGAATGGAATGATCTTGATGAGAGAGTAGAATCACTAAGGTTCCCAATCAATTATTCAAATAAAAGTCACTTAAGGTGAACCAGTTTTCAATGCTTAATTGAGGATAAAATTTGAATTGACAATATATCAAACAGTTTGTGTGTTATCAATATATCAAACACTTGACATACGAAACACACCAAGTCAAATTTCCTTAGAATTTGTAGTGCAAAACTGTTCTCACTTGCAATCAAAGTGATTGCAATGGTTTTGTACAACTGTTTGAAACACTACAAATTCAATCGAAATATTGCAAACAATTGATTTCACACAAACTTCAACAATATAAAAGTAAAGAAATATATATATATATATATATATATATATATATATATATATATATATATATATATATATATATATATATATATATATATATATATATATATATATATATATATATATATATATATATATATATATATATATATATATATATATATATATATATATATACAGAGAGAGAGAGAGAGAGAAAGACACTCGATTTGTTTAGGTTGTTCCTCTTTCATCTTCGTTTCGGGTACGTCTACCCTCAATTTTAAATTAGAATTGAGAAATGTATAATATATGTGTGTAATATTCAGTATAAGAGAAGTCCTAGCTAACCAACAATCTAACACAACTGTTGATGTTGAATCTAACCACTTTTCTCCCCTTGATTCCAGCTGAAGCAAGTGCATCAAACACTTCGAATAAACCTTCAGTTTTCGTTACTCACTTGACCAAACCTTATGTTCTTCAATTTCACTCGGCTGATTTTGATCGCAAGATGCTTGACCCCAAATCTTCCAAAACAATCCTTCGGTTAACGTTATTCCATTGACCAAACCCACCGTTCTCCAGGGCTTTCACTCGGCTGAATCTGTGATGCGAAGACTTGTACAAAAACCCTTAGTTCTTTCAAGATCTTAGAGGACAAAAATCCAATGGTTTTATCGAAGTAAATCCCACTAAATCTCTACCCAAACTTGATTTACAAATCCTACATTTGGATGTTATCACTCTTGACTAAGCACAATCAATAAAGATGATTATGTATGATTATTGATGAATGTAATTGTGATAGTGAAGATGAAGAGCAAGACAATGCTTCTTTCATTCATGTATGCACATGAATGAGTAAAGAAAACTGAGTTTGGGAACACAAAGACACAGAAAAATGGGTAAACACGCGCGAGAGGTCGACCTTTGGCATCTATGAGTCAACCTGAACAAGGCAGTGGGCAAAACTGCATAAAACTTGGCTCATGCATCGATATATAGGAAGTCATGCGTCGACGCATGCAAGGCAGAAAATTTTAAAGATTTTCCTTACAGTGTGATTCGACGAGCAAGGGCGCATGTGTCGACCCAAGGTAGGCCCATGCAAGGCAGAGAGTTTTAAAACCTTTTCCCTTCAGTGTGAGTCGACCTATGACCTTTATGAGTCGACCTATGGCTCTAAAAATGACCCAAAAACCCATTTTTAACATTGCGTATGATCCTATATGTCTAATACATGTATAAGGATCTTTATGCATGTTTGCAAGAGATGAATGCATGGTTTATACAAGGTGATACCGTCCAAAATACACAAGTACTTAATATCCTAGTTTTGACATCATTAAAACATAGTAAAAAGGAACCTTGCCTTCACATGGCCCACCGTTGTTCATCATAATCACCGATTCACCAATCAGTTATGGTTCCACACAGAATAATAGCTTCGTTTATGGGAATCGATATTTGATTCCCACATTTTCCATAATTGCACGTTCGCTCTTCAATTCATCGGTTCAAAGCCTCTTTATTTTATTAGATATAGAGTTCTCGAAATCAAACACGAAGATCCATCACGATTGACCTAATTAAGTAAAGTATCAATTTTGGTTTCCTAAATTTCTAGATTCCTGACTTATAAACTTTTCATAATGGTTGGATTTAAAGCTACTCGTTTGGCCGCATTACATGAAGTCAATGTCGCTCAAGCGACGATCAATCAACCTCTTATGCCTCTTCCTCAAGGTATTGTGAATCAAGTAGCACACCTCCACTACATCCAGGTCTTCTCCAATATCCTTAAATTACAGGATCTACTCAGGAGCCTCCAGTCAGACCTTTGATTCCACCTCCAGTTGCATGACCAGAAGCATTTCCTAGTTTCCAACTATTGCGAGCCAATATCAGAGTGCAAGGCACCAATAAATTACTGAACAACATGTACAACAATGATTAATAACAAAATTCACAAGCGATAGAGGAAAGATTGCTCTGTATCAAAGAAATCCCACACCTCCATGGAAGAACCTTCTAAGATGGGCAAATACAACGGGATGGGAGACTCAAGCGAGCACGTGCAACTCATCAATAAGCGTCTAAGTTACTTTTATGCTAATGAAGCCTTCGAGTGTAAATTGTCTGCTCTAACCTTGATTGGATCGTGTCGCATCGTTGCGAAAGAGGGGTCGGCAAGGACAGAAGAGTTGCCACCATTCGTTATTTATTCCAAAGAGAGGGACAGGAAACGATCAGAGAAAACCTACGAAAAAGGGAAAAGACAGGTCATCACAACCAAATCTCGGGTTCGGGAGTCGGTTATGCAAGGGGAAGGTATGAGCACCCCTCACGTCCGTTGTACTCAACGGGATCCACGCTTGTTATCTAAGTCTATGGGTGAAAACAAAACTATCTAAGGCTGCTGCTAAATCAGAAAGAAATAACTCGATAGGACATTGCCGCCTTATGCCTACGTATTCCCTCGTGCAATGGGAAAGTCAGAGTCAACGTAGTTCGGGAAACTACGGGGGGAGGTTGCTCGCCAAGACATCGCGTCTTGTGCCTACATATTCTTGTGAGGGCGAATCCTCATATACCATAAGTACTTGTGTTTCGATGATGTCAAAACGTAATCATGGAAGAATCGGGTTTTCGGCTCTACCACTACAAAGCAAATGCATATCACACTTCTCATATCTCTCTTGTGTGCATACCTTGTCTAGCAAACTTACCATATGGAGTCCAATGTAGTTGGAAAATCATTGGTTATGTCTAGAAGCATAGAATTAACAAAAATAAGCATTTCT